GACGAAAGGCAGCGTGCTCAGGGGTGCTACTCAAGCCCGCCCTGGTAGCAGAGAAGCAGCCGTGGACCGTCGCGTAGCCGCAAAAGCAGGACCGGGTTCCAGGGCATCGGGTGTGGACGCTGAAATTTGTTTTCATATACTGCTCGCAAATTCAATGTAATATAATTCCTACGTGGGTCTCTCCCCCGCCACTCATGCCAGGTTTCCAACCACACCGAGATGGTTCAATGTCAGTATCACTTCTTAGGATCCGACAGACAAACGAGGGTGAGGGGCAGGAAGCTGCCCCCAGGCCGAGACCCAGAGCGGCAGGGAGATGAGTGGAGCTGGGTTTGGGGCGCGGGGTACAGCCCCTGGGGCCGGACGCGTCCTGGGACCTCTCCCTGCCGGGCGGGCCATGCCGTGGGCCCGGGTTCGCGGTGCGGAGGGAGCGCCCCGGGGCAAGGGTCCACACGCTAGGCGGGAGAGGGTGCTGAGTGGAGCGCCCTGGGTGGACGGCCCTCATTGAGGAGGCAGGCCTCTCGGCCGCAGGGAGAAGCCCGCGTGGCGGCGCAGCGCTGAGGAGCTCGGCTGCTCAACCGCAAGGTGGGCGGTTCCAGCCCACCGACCCGCCAGCCGCTGCGCTGGAGAAAGACCAGGCTTCCGTGAAGACTGCGGCCCCGGCCACCCCGGGGCGCGGATCGACTCGGTCCTAGAGCGTCGCCCAGAGTCGGAATCGACTACACGGCCACGGGTTCAGCGGTTAATCTCGGGCCTCTGCGGCAAAGGGGGTCTCCGCGCTGAGCCCCAGCCCCGTTTCTATGGTTACCTGTTCAGCACCGATTCAAACTGCCGTTCTTTATTGACAGCGCCGTAGAGGACACGAACACTCCTGCCCGAGGGGAACAATAAAGCTTTCTCCATTCAACAGCGCCACCGACGCCAGAAAGCGGCCATTTTGAGCCCGGCGCTGAAGGGCGGGGAACGGGGAGCGGGTGGTCGGGCCTTCCGGGCGCCGCGGTCACGTGGTTGGGGGCGGGCCCCATTCGGGGGCGGGGCTCGCGAGGGGGCGGGCCTGCGGCGCGCGCACGCGCTCTCCACCCGGGCGTAGGACCCGGAGGGATCCACCCTCCGCTGGGTTCTGCCCCGGCCGCCGGCCCTTGTGGGCCGCTGACTGTCCTCGGCCACTCGCCGGAGTAGCTGTAGGGTTAAGTTCTGTTTCAAAGAATGCCAGAAAAGTAGATGCCAAAGGCTCCTCTTTATTTTTCCTTAACATTTTCACGTGCAAGGCGTGGCTGTGACCCGAGCCTCGGACCCAGACTCACTATCCTTGGTGGAGGGACTTGGCGGTAGACACCTCCGGGTGTGCACCAATTATGGTGTCTGGAACACATTTTTATCCTCCTCTCCCATTTATGTAGACTTTGGGGGTTCCTCGCGGTGCGTTGGCCTCTCCCTCAGTTTCCTTCCCACTCGCTTTGTCGCAGGCTATGCGTCCCACGTGGGTGGCCGCCTCGCCGCCTTCGCACAGCCCAGCAGATTGCGGGAGATCCAGGCAGTCTCAGATTAGATCACAACAGCGCTGGCTCACGGAAGCTCACACTGTCACTGCCGGTCCCACCACCCAAATTGTCTCCGTACAACATCGAGCTTCCTCTGCGATTGCAACTGAGATCTGCAACGTCCACATTCAGGCGTTCTGAGAGCTATCGCGTCAGACGAATCCCCGCTCAATCACCGCTTTTAATTACACGTTCAATCTACCGGGCAGAGCTGTCACGCGCGTTGATGCATTCACTTCTACTGTCATTGTCCAGTTTCCGACCCTTGTCGATAGCCACAAACTTCGAACAGGCCGGTACAACCTGGCACTCCGACTGTGTGCCCAGCTGTCAGCCTTTCCGTTGTTATCACCCACTGTCACATTCTCAAGTCAATATTTAGCAAGCCCCTGCAGAGTATACAGCTGTGCCTGTTACTACCCAATTAGTCACTTTCCCGACTACACTCACAGTCGCTGTCACGTGCAGGGTCAACTTTACTGTAGCTGATATCCAGTCACCTTTGTAGCCACCAGAATCACGGTACAGCGGCTGTGTCTCCTCATCACTCACACCCCCACACCACGCTGTGTGTGGGGCAGGAGACCTAGTGTAGGAATACCAGAGACAGTAAAAAAAAATGAATAAATGACATTGTTTTTTAAAAAAGAAACTTGGAATGGATGGTGGTACTCAAGAAATATTTATTGAATTAACAGTAAAAAGAAAAGCCAACAACAATTACAATATAATTGCCAACGTACTGTATATGAACATGAATAACTTGGGCTCATTCAGTCTCAAGCAACAGGAATAAGTTTGCAGGCCCAATCTCTCCTGATGTTCCACTTGATAAGACTGTATCCACTCAGGTCCGAAAGAACACATGGGCGTGGGAACCCCCACATTCCTGGTGCCACGGTTAAAAAAAACAGGATTTAAAAAAAAAAAAGATTTTATTTATTTTTAAATGAATACATGTTATTGTAGAACATTTGGGAAATAAACCAAGGAGTTCTCCCTTCAAAAGCTTGTTTTAGACACAACAAAGAGTGTCATCCGGAGAAAGAGACATTCTTTGATAGTTACCAGGAATGGCAGGACAGAGGGGAAACCAC